CGTAAATAGCTGTTTTGGAAAAATTGAAAAATTATAAAATCGAAAAATCGAAAAATCGAAAAATCGAAAAATCGAAAAATCGAAAAATCGAAAAATCGAAAAATCGAAAAATCGAAAAATCGAAAAATCTAAAAATCTAAAAATCTAAAAATCGAAAAATCGAAAAATTTAAAAATCGAAAAATCGAAAAATCGAAAAATCGAAAAATCGAAAAATCGAAAAATCGAAAAATCGAAAAATCGAAAAATCGAAAAATCGAAAAATCGAAAAATCGAAAAATCGAAAAATCGAAAAATCGAAAAATCGAAAAATCGAAAAATCGAAAAATCGAAAAATCGAAAAATCGAAAAATCGAAAAATCGAAAAATCGAAAAATCGAAAAATCGAAAAATCGAAAAATCGAAAAATCGAAAAATCGAAAAATCGAAAAATCGAAAAATCGAAAAATCGAAAAATCGAAAAATCGAAAAATCGAAAAATCGAAAAATCGAAAAATCGAAAAATCGAAAAATCGAAAAATCGAAAAATCGAAAAATCGAAAACTCGTAAAATAGAAAAATCAAAAAATCGAAAAATAGAAAAATCGAAAAATCGAAAAATCAAAAATCGAAAAATTGAAAAATTGAAAAATCGAAAAATCGAAAAATTAAAAAATCGAAAAATTAAAAAATCGAAAATCGAAAAAAAGAACGGGTAAAAACGTTTTTTTTTTTAATTTCCCGCAGGTAATATCAAAAATCAGATTGCTAACACTACATATGTCCCTTATTTTTATTATTACTATTGAAAAAAAAACAACGTCATATGGCAATCAAATACAACAATTTTTTGAAATATTTGATTGGAAGTACCTACAAAAGAATGATGGTGAAACATTTTTTAACCAAACACAATTTAATTATTTATTTAATTAAGTCAAAATTAGAAAAAATCTTGTACGTTACGAAATGCCGTTTTGTATACTTCATTCATTTTCAGGGACCTTGCTCCGCTCCGATTACAAAAAATATGTCAAAATTAGAAATGTATATTTTATAATACAAAATATCGAAGTTTTAATAATAATAATGGTGGTTCTAAAAAAATCATAAAGCGTACTGTACTTACAAGTAAATTCACAATTTATAATATTAAAAGACCACTTATAGATCCTTGTGATATACCAAAAAAAAAAACACATCAGCATATATGTAATTACGTATCTACTTTAACATTTTATCCACTTTATTACATCTACAACAATTATCAAGAGTCATTATTTTTTATAAAGAGAAAAAAAGACAACTGTCAGAAAAAATTACGCTTCATTTATTCATTTATTAACATTTTGGTCGCATCTACTTTATTACTTTATTTATAAACGCATCATACCTATAGTTAGTAATTCTATACAAGTCTTTGTTACTTAACTTTTTATTCGATCAATACAAAGTTGAAACTATTATTACTTTAGGAACAATAATATAACAGAATGTTGGTCCTACTTGATGACATGGTTGCCTAGAAAAATGCTTAGTCTCACCAGAAGTTGCTTGGCCTCGGCTATGCCTCGGCCGCAAATGTCTTTCATTACAGCTTTAGTACACAAATACATATTGTTATTGTTGGCACAAACTAATTATATTCAAATAAAAAAAGGTTTTTTAATTTTTAATTATTTTTCTATACATTTGTCGGATATCTAAATCGAATTCGGAACCAAAAAAAGAAATACTCACCAAAATCGATTTACGATACACTGTATTTCGAATTTCCGTCAAATTTTCTATTCTTTTTTATTTATTAGTAAACCGTTGTGGTCACTGCTGCCAAACAACTGACCCGCAGTCATTAATTTCTCGCGTTTAAAATTGTCTATACTCGCGACTGAAGGCAACATACAATGAATTTCAATTCAATTTCAAAATATTATCGTATTTCGTCACATATCTCGCGAACAAATACAACATTGGATTACGTAATTGCAAATGATTAGAAGCTGATAAGAATTCGATTAGTTTTATTGTCTTAATAGCATTCAATTTAAATAAGGATAAAACAATTATAAGCCTTCTTATACCTTCTTGTACCGTCTCGTACTTTACAATAAAAAAAAAACTGAAGATTCAATATCAAAATTAACACAACAGTAATGTAAATAATCTAAGTATTAAATAGTAAATACCTATATTCAAAACTCTGTCTCAAACACAACTGAAGATATAACACAAACAATTCAAACTTGAAGTCACAGTTTAATTAAATAAATTGTTAGTTTATTGGGGGTAATATATTTCTAATAGGTTACCCAGTTCAAGGCCATTTACCTGTCTAAATATTAGGGTAAATAAATATCCGCAATACACGAATCGGAACGGTAGAGTAGGTGTCTACGGCGCTCGCATTCACTTGCGAGCAATTTTGTGGTAAGAGACACACTGGATTCGAATCCTACAAAAAACCATGTCATTTATTTGCATGGTTTTGTATAAGATTTGATTGATATCGTATAAGCAAAAATTTAATTTCTTTTGATATGACATCCAAATTATAAAAATCACCATGCGATACCGTTTCGATGATGGTAAATGGGGTTTTTCGGGTTTTCTCATCTGTAAGTCAAATGGCACCATCAGTAGGCCGGGCCGAAAAAATTATTTTTGGAAATCTTGGTTGGCATACTAAAAAAAAGTTGCAACTTGGGTAGAAAACAATGTCGTTTTTTTTGAAAATTTAAAAAAAAACTAGCCGCGCCCCGGAGGGGGCGAAAAAATTTTTTTTATATTTTTTTTTTCGAGCTGGCATAGCAAAAAATTACTAGATATTAGTGTCCTTATAACACAAAAAAAATTCTTAATAATATTTTAATATTTAGCTGCGCCCCTGGCGTTTTTTAAAAATTAAATAAAAAATTTATCGTGGTAAACTATTACAAAAATAAATAATTAAAACTCCTTCGTTAACTTGTGACAAAAAAGATATTCGCCTCTGAATATCGACAGTTTATTTTATTCTTGTTAGTAATGAGTTACGGAGAACATCTCGGTCGTGTCGTGTAGTGCATTACTTCTGTTTTGTTAGCTTTTTATTTATAATTAATAAGTGTTAGTTAATCACTAATTAGACTTTTTGTTTTCCTGTTTTTGTAATTGACTGTTTAAAAACAATATTTATTTTTAATAAGTAAGCGTTAGTGATATTTTAGGTGCAATTTGGATACATAATCACTAAATTTGACTTTGGTTTTCCCTGTTTTTTGTGTTCATTTGTGTAAGAACAATATGGATAAAGTTAAAACAAGAAAAACAGACGCTTGTCCAATATTTGGTGCTCCTTGCGATTTGAAGTCCAAAGTTTGCTTGCCAACTAAAGAAGATATGTTTCGTTGTTATCTATTTTCAAGAAAAGAGATGCAGGGAAATTCGAGCAAGCAGCCGCCTGAATGGGAAGTTGCAAAACTGGTTGCCCAAAAAATTTAAAGTATATGGAAACATGCATCACTCCCAATTGTTAGTACCAAACGCATAATTGCAATGATATTGGCATATCATAAACATTATCGCAATACAAGAAAACCACTGAAATCACGAAAATCGCTATTTATTCTACAAAAAGTGGAAGATTTTAAGATGGAATCTAAGAAGCTATTTGACATATGTTCGTGTAAATGCAGTAGTTTTGAATGCAGTAGTGTGAAAGAAATTACAAAGTGCCCTTGTTGGAACAAAATTTTTGACAGACCAAAGGAATGACAGAAAAATGCAAGTAGCAGGGGTAGATAAGGTAATTACTGAAAAGAACCTAAAAAAGGAAGACAGAATTCAACGTTCATTGCCTTCGACAAGCAGCCAAACGACTGATATGGTGGCTACTAAAAAATACAAAGAACGGAATAAAAGGCCCCTTCACAAAGTAGCCAGAAATCTGATTCCAGCTCAGGCTCACCTGTTGAAAGTAGTCCTAAAAGTCCGTCCGGCGGCGAAGACTTTGCTAAAGATCAAGACTTTAAGTGGTCATATTCTCTAGAAAAACCACAACAGCAAATTACGTCCACAAAAACATCCACTCAACTCAGAATTGCATTGCCAAATTCAGTCCAAATTGCCGATATGACTGGTGCATCAAACCGCACAGTAGCTAAAGCTGCAACAGCCACCCTTGAAGATTTTGGACTAGTTTCATCCGATGATCTAGCTAATGTAGTGGATAAAAATAAGGTACGTCGAGCATTAAAAAGAAAGAGAAAACAGGTACAAGAAAAAGCTTCCAAGGAAAGGAAAGATGTTGAGGCGATATACTTTGACGGAAGAAAGGACCAGACAATGAAGCAAATCGAAGGCCGCCGTATTGTTAAACAAGAGGAACATGTTGCATTAATAGAAGAGCCTGGAAGCAAATATTTTGGTCATTTAGAAATAAATCCGCCAGTTAATGCTGCAAACATAGCCAAAAACATTTTATCCTTTATGAAAGAAAACTTCGTCAACGCAGAAAAACTTAAGGCAATAGGATGTGATGGTACGAACGTCAACACGGGTTGGAAAGCTGGTGCAATCAGAACAATTGAAGTTCAAATTGGAAAGCCCCTTCAATGGATAATCTGTTTGTTGCATGCTAACGAACTACCCTTACGCCACGTGCTTCAACAATTAGATGGTCAAACAAAAGGTCTAAACTCTTTTTCGGGACCAGTTGGTTCCTTACTGACAACATGCGAAACCAAGCCTATTTAAAAGTTTCAGTCAATTGATATCAATTTACCTAAAGTTGACGACAAGGACTTGAGTACAGACCAGCGATATCTCTACCAAATTTGTTGTGCTATTAAGGAGAAGGTTTCTGTTCCGAAGCTTTATCTAAAAGAGATCCGGGAAAAATGAATCACGCGCGTTGGCTGACCACAGCTAACCGAATATTGCGCTTGTATGTGGCTACGTGCAATCCTTCCCAAGGTGATTAAAATGTGATAAGTGATTAAAACTAACGCATATTTCGCCCACCCGGAAAATATCTTAGTAGCTATGATTGCCGATGAAAGAAGTCACATTAAGAAACTTGGCATTCGACGCATATTAAAGGCTAAAAATCAACCACCAGAGAAATTGCGAATATTTAAAATTCCGGATATAAATTGGAATGCCGAGGATTACACCGAGTTAATTAATTGGAGCGAATGCTCCATCACAGAGCCCCCATTGACAATGGACATTAAAAATGAAGATTTCTTAGCAGCTATAAAGAACTTATCCGCAATTAATATAAGCAAATTACCATGTCACACTCAAGTCGTTGAGCGGTGCATAAAACTGGTGACAGAAGCATCTAACAAAGTGTGCGAACACTCAGCTAGAGACGGTTTTATAAGAGTTAGAATAGAGGCAAAGCAAAGTTTACCTGCGTTTGAAAATAAGAGACAATACTATGAAGCTGGGGAGGAAAAGGTACCAGATAATAATTAATTAAGTTTAAGGGTGGGAGGGCGGGTGCAACTCGACATACAGCCACCTCCTCGTGGTGAGTTGTGGGTTGATAAAATGATGGCTAGAATTACACATTTGTTGCAGTACTTAATTAGGTCAAGATATAAATCAGTCATCATTTTTTCAAGCTGAGAGCTGTATTGTAGGTGGGGCTAAATATTTAAATGTCCAGGGGCGCGGTTAAATATTAATATATTTAAACAAAATGTTTTGTGTATTGTAAGAAAGCTATAAGCTATCAGTTTTTCACTATGCCAGATCTAAAAAAAAATAAAAAAAAATTCACCCCCCGGGGTGCGCCTAAATTTTTTTTTAAAAATTAAAAAAAAAATTAGCTTTAATGGTTAGTCATTTAGCAGTAAATTTTCACTATGCCAAACGAGATTTAAAAAAAAAATTTTTTTGGCCTTTTTCGGCCCGGCCTAACCATCAGTCATCTTGAAGTGCCACGACAAGTAATAATAATAACCGTCCCGTTTCCCCGGACAAGCTCAGATTTTGGAATTAAAATTCACTCGTAAGGGAGTGAATTAGGGAGAGTATATTATTATTATTATTATTATTGTTATATTAGGGTAAGTAACTATAACTATGATGAGATTTTCTCCAACTAAAAATTGATTTACACAGTACGCGTAATCCCAAGAGTTCTTAAAAACCCATAGATTAACTCCATTGAACCCACACGTACTTACCAATAATCAAAATAGTTATAGAAAACCGATAGATCAACCCGATTAACCCACAGGTACTTACCAATGATCAAAATAGGTATAGAAAGCAGAAGATAATTTCGATTCATTTTTTTTAAACTGATTAGTAGCAGGTGTTAACGTAAACAATCTGTTAATTAATTTAGTTTTGCTTAGCCTAAAAATAAACCTTGGTAAGCATTGAACTATGAAGGATATAGTCATTGAGGCATTCCAAGAGTTATTGCTCTGACCATGGAATGTCATATTCTTCAAAAACAATTATTTTCGTATATAAAATCGATGTAAAATTACTTAAACAAGTAGATTTGTATATTATTTACTCCTTTACTGGATATAGAAGGAAATGAGGTAAATGGTATGAATGAGGTTCATGTTTAAAAAGTTGTTCTTATGTATGGTGTAGACCAGAATTCTTTGTATTATTTCACAGATTTCTGTATTACCTATATACAGGGTGTTTAAAAAAGGTAAGTAATAAATTCTTCACCCGATAGATTTCCAAAAATTAAGTGGATTTGGCTAGATTTACCTATATCCAAAAATGGCTCCTAACAAAGTTACAGAGCGTTAAACTAATATTCAGAAAAAAGTTTGATGTTTCGATTTTTTCTTTGAATTTTTTACTAGTGCTGTAGATTTAAAAGCCCAATATTCTGAGATAGCAAATAATTTAAAGCGACCCCCTTAATACAGGTTGCACAGAACTGTAGAACGGGAAATTGATGTATCAAAATCAACGGTACGAAGAGAATTAAATAAGAATAAGTACAATCCATACAAATCTATAATAGCCCAAGGACTGAAGGAAACTGATTTTTCAAGACGTGTTTAAAAACTTTGTTTATATATTTTGTTTTATCAGTGTAGATGCACTTTGATTATTCTTTGTGACATAATATAATAACTGACAATTATTAAAAAAGAAATGTCGCCAAGTCAAGAATTATAATAAAAGATTTATACAGTCCGCTTACATTTATTTAACTATTTGAACCAGCAGTTTATAGTTTAAACAGACATGGTATACTAGATATAATGAAAATTCCGATTTTGTTAATCATGTCTTGTGGTCCGATGAGAATAGGTTTACGAATTGTGGAGTTTTTAATAAGCACAACACTTATCTTTGGGCTTTGGAAAACCCTCACGAGGTGGTAGAGAGACGTCTACAGACCATTTGGAAGTAAGGTTTGGTGTAGGATCGTTGGTAATTAAATTTAACTTACCTTTTTTAATTGGGCACCTATTATAAATTATTAATCTCAGGAAATCGATTTATAGGACCATTTTTGTTTGATTTCAACCTAAACGGACAAAGATACCTAGAGCTTCTGCGAAACCAGGTTGTACTGGCTTTACGGGCTACTCTAACGGAAGATGAGTTTAGAAGAACCTGGTTTTAACAGATTGGTTGCCCGGCTCACAACACATTCAAGTCAGGAACTTCTTAAGAGAGCCCTTTGACGAAAGAGTCATTTAATTAAATGGTCCAATATCTGGGCCTTTTAGATCTCCTCACCTTTAGCCCTAAGATTTCTCAATGCTAATAAATTTTATTTTTGTAAGAGACTGTACAAAACACATGTATATAAACACATATGGACAAGTTATAATTTTATTCAATTTCATCCGGCAAACTCGCAAATATTTAAACGATATGGTATAGAAATTTGTGACTTCCTCATACTAATTTTAAGGGTTTGTTTTGGTTTAAACAGAACCGCTGATTCCAGTTCTCAAACACAGTGGAAAAATTAATTTTTCAAGAACACGTCGCGAGTTTAAAACAACCTCTTAGCTGATCGAGTGTTACTTTGATACGTGAAGTGGCTACAATGTTGCCAAGTTGTAATAATTTTACGAAACTACTCGTCAACTGCTTTAAAAATATTTTTATTTTAAAAATCTATATCTTTTTACTAAGATAGTCAAAAAATTCAGCGATTATCTATAAAATTTGATAACTTCTTGATTTATTTAACATTAGTTTTAAAAAAATATGGTAAGAACCGTTTTCGAGATATTTTAAAATAAATGCATTGCTTGTGTACATGATAGGCTTCAAGAGTGTTAATTATGCACATTTTGATTGTTAATATCTCGTTTCACAGATGGTCAAAAAATCTAATCTTTTTTAGTTACGTAAACGACACTTTCATAAACCTTATATTTAAATTTTATTGAATTCTTAAGAAAAGCCGTTTTACGAGTGAACTACCTTAAATTAATATCCAGCTACGAAGCAGATAAATACATAATTAGACTTTACATTACAACTTGTAAAATGTTTCTGTTTTATTTTTTGACAAATAAATCATGGCCTCTCTGGAAAATATCAGACCTAACTTTACGAAGTGTGATGTTTCTATGATAATTAAATCTTTTAGGCACTTTTGAGACATTAAAAGACAACATTTTTCGCCGATATTTCCATAATCAACTGACCGATCGTAAATCTGAAGCCGGTTATCTAATGCACTAAGTTTTGTCTAAAACTTTTCCCAGTTAATCTTTGCTGTAGGCATAATAGGTGCCAAGATCCTGTATAGATCATTTCATGGTGACGTCACAAGGGATTCGCCATATTGGCTAAGGGTCACACAAACTTCATTTGCTATTATAAACAACGTAAAGTGAGCTTCTTTTAATATTAAAATTATTAAATATGCCTTCTTTTTGTGCCGTGGTAGGTTGTGCAAATAGGGCAGAAAGGAATAAAGTACGCTTTTTTAGAATCTCTGCGGCTTTTAAAGACCGGAAAGAAAAATTAGATGCTAAATCACCAGAACGAGAATGTTGAATTAGGTCCCTAAAACGAGGAAATTTAAGTGAAACCTGTCTTAAAAATGTACATATTTGCTCAAATATCACTTTATAACAGGTAAATACTAATGTAAATCTATGATCTCCACTAAATTATTTAGCTTAAAAATATTTTTAACATAAAAATAGAGTCATATTAAAACGTAAGCATTTTTGGTGTTCTACGACAACCTTCAAAAATAGGATTAATCCAGACTGGATCCCAACATAAAACATGGGGTATGTTACAACTAATTCAAAAGATCCTCAAGCTGCTGAACGAAACATACGAAGAAAATGTCCAAGAATGGTTAGTTAAAATTATAATTTCGTTATGATTTATTTAGTTAACAAATAACTTTTAGAGTGAGCCGGATCAATTACTGTCTGTAGAAGATATCGGATTTTTGCCAGAGCCATCAACAAATCATGTAGAACACAGTGAACAAGATGGTAAAGTAAATGCTGGTGAACTGACTTGAATATGGAATATTTAAACAAACTGCTTCTAGATCTCAATTTTTGTACTGAGAGAATTGAAACTCTCAACCTAAAATTAAAGGCCCTGGCTGTTACCGAAGAATCATTCGTTCAGTGGCGGCTCGTGGACACTAGCGGCCGTGGGGCACACACTGGAAAGGAATCCCGGGATTTAATGAAAATTAAATATATTTCAAAACAAATTAAATATTACAAAATTGAAGACTAACTGAGAGGTACCGCTGCAGTTGTATACTATTTCTTATAGTTGAAGTCCATTCTTCTGGATTTTTGGCTAGCGAAGTGATCGATGACCAGATTATTAAAATTTGGAATGGACCGAATAAGTTTTTTTTCGATAACGCGCACAATCTATCTGGGCACATAGTGTTCCTTTAAAATGATTTAATACGTTTTAGTGTCGAAAAACATCTTTCACTCTCCACTGTGATCATGGGAATTGTACACAGGATAGTTAGCAGCTCCACAGATTCCGAAAATGTAATTGTCAAATTGTTCTCAAAAAAACATTTGTAATTACGGTACGGCCCCATTGTGTTGCACAAAGTCATCTCGGCTGTAAAGTAAGGACAATTCGTTTTTGAATTTTAAGCTGTTCATGTTTGGAAATAAACTACACACAGTTTTAACGTCCTCATTTGGAAAACAACCTCGGTAGTCTTTAAATTTTTCACTATCAAATAAACTTGCAATTGTTAGGTGGGTAGTAAAACTAAAACGTTCATTTACCTGCACTACTATTGTATCACAAATTTCCTTACATATCCTTAAATTAGGAACGGGGGCATCCTTTTCAACAAACCGTCTCTTCTTGCTTGTACTTGGTCTCGATTGGGTGTTGTCGATTAAGTTTAGTTCTTGTGGGTCTTGTTCTGATTGCCATTCTTCATGAATTAGCGTGTTTATATTATTTCTAATATTTTGAGTAGCTGCTGCAAAATTTGATATGTTTATCTTAACCTTGAGAGCATCGAGCTGTCAACTCTGCAGTTGATCAAAAAGTATATCGCAATTGGCATTACTTTGCTGAAGAAAAATAACCTGAAACTAAAATCTGTCGTTCAAAATTTATCAACCCTTTAGTCTGATTAATAGTTTGAAATAACCAAAAAAGGTTGACAGCTGTGTGCACGTATTTTAGATTCAAAAGAAAAGACTTGTATTTCGTGCAAAACTTTTTAATTAATAAATGCAAAGCGCTTTCGGCTTATTAGCCATCATCAGTGCTTATCTACAAAAATTGTGGATGTAAACTTACAATTTAAAAAATACAAATCTGATTAAGACTTTTAAGTCAAGAGTTAAAATTGTATATATACGGTTGTTTGAACAAACTAACAATTAAAAGATACAAACAAAGTAACAAAAATCCAGTATTGGGAATAGTGAGTGTGGGATAAGCCCTTACAAATCATATCTGATCTCCAGAAGCAAGTTAGCTTTTGTGGAATTAAGCAATTACACTACCTTCACCATACGCACAATTGAAAACAAGTTAACAAATTAGTTAAAATTTAAAGAAATTTACAAATAGAGGGTGACTGTGGAAAATATATATTGAAATTTGAATCTAGAATACAATAGTTAATATAAAGAAAGTTAAACGCAGAAGGCCAAGGTAAAAAACTGAAGGTTTTTTTTTATATGTATATACATTATAATTATAAAAAAATTTCTACCTACTGTCCACAATGTAACCAACAAGTTCCTGGTCATCCTCACTTCCAAAATTAGATATTTCGGGATATTTACAACTTTGGGAGTGGGGATGACCAGAAACTTGTTGGATACATTGTGGACAGTAGGTAGAATTTTTTTTATAATTATAATGTATATACATATAAAAAAAAAACCTTCAGTTTTTTACCTTGGCCTTCTGCGTTTAACTTTCTTCATATTAACTATTGTATTCTAGATTCAAATTTCAATATATATTTTCCACAGTCACCCTCTATTTGTAAATTTCTTTAAATGTTAACTTGTTTTCAATTGTGCGAATGGTGAAGGTGGTGTAATTCCTTAATTCCACACAAGCTAACTTGCTTCTGGAGATCAGATAGGATTTGTAAGGGCTTATCCCACACTCACTATTTCCAATACTGGATTTTTGTCACTTTGTTTGTATCTTTTAATTGTTAATTTGTTCAAACAACCGTATATATACAATTTTAACTCTTGACTTAAAAGTCTTAATCAGATTTTTAGTTTTTAAATTGTAAGTTTACATCTACAATTTTTGTAGATAAGCACTGATGATGGCTAATAAGCCGAAAGCGCTTTGCATTTATTAATTAAAAAGTTTTAATTAATAGTTTGTTTATCGAATTCTGTGTTCATAATTTCTTCGTGACATTTAATCAAATCCTCTTTATAAACATAAATAGTATTGACACATTTCGATGTAAAATTCCATCGTATAGGAGCATTTTAAAGCATACGACTCTGAAGAAAAGGTGTTTGGCAATTTAAAATCTCCCAGAGAAAAATTTATCTTTTATATTTTCAAATTAAAAAAAATATTTATATCTCTATTTGATAGTTTGTCAACTAAGCCTGGAATTTCCAACGCATTCCTTTTTGAGATGAGCAAAATAGAATTTGGTCATCCTTGCCAATAATTTGCGAAAATGTATACCATTAAATTATTTATAAGACTCAGAATTTTTTATACTCTTATAAATGCAAACAGAGATTTGAAATCCTCGAAAAAATCAGACAAAACCAAAAGAAAAATTAAAATTTTGTCCCATTTATAAATATTATTTATTTTTTTCATCATATTTTTGACTGCTTCATAAAAAAAATATTATTTTTCTTTGTAGTTTTATTTCTTAACTATTCCAATGGTACAACTAACGTTTTTTTGTAATTACAATAAATAAATTATTATCATGGTCCAACAAACGCACACCTTAAGCCGAAACCGGCATCGCCTTTGTGAGGGAGCCAGTGAAGATGCCGCTGCGTACATTCGTATCTGGTCTAGGTAATCCGTGCCATCGATACAGCACGTTACGATGAGGACAGCGCCCGGCTTGTGACGTATAATCCATCGCATGTGTTCATCTCTTGCTAAGCGATATTGTCGTTGTCCTTATTTTTCGCATAATAATGAGAGAGAAAACAACAGAGGCACACATTTACTGTGCCCATCTTCCACTTAATTTCGGAATTCTCGGAACGTCGCTCAACGCCCGGTGGTCCAGTGTCGTGCCAACGCGGTTTGTTTTGAATATTAGTTAAAATAATAATAGGTACTGCATTCGTTGACAATGATTCAAAGACATTATATTTTACAGGATTTCCAAAAGCTGCTATGATGTTCAAATTGTTTAATGCCATAGCTTCTTCCTTGTCTACAAAATGTATATTATGCCCTTTTAAACAATTTTTGTTAACACTAATGAGATTGCGTCTAAATTTGCCATTTAAATATTTAGTTTACCGACTTGGCATATCTCTCGCTACTGCTTCAGACACATTTCATAAATGCATTGATATTTATTTTATATAAAAAAATATAAAAAACTTGTTATCTGGCTAGAGAGAGAAATTCTAAGAAAAAATACGCCTGCTTGTTTCAAAGAAAATTTTGGTGATCGTGTTGCAGTTATAATAGACTGTTTTTAAATATTTACAGAAACACCATCTGGTCCAGTAAACATTGCAAGCTGCTGGTCTAACTATAAACATCATGAAATAAAAGATTCGGTTGAAATAGTTGGAGGGCGTCACAGAAGCCAAATACCTCGGAGTCATATTTGACCAAAGGCTGACATGGAATCAACATCTCAAAAAACTCACACATAAAGCTACAATAGCTATCGTGAGCTGTAGAAGAATATGTGGGAAAAACTGGGGTCTAAACCCCAAAATGACCATATGGTTATACACAAGGGTAATAAGACCCATGATAACCTATGGCGCAGTGGCGTGGGTAACCAAAACTGCGCAGGCAAGTGCAATAGGCCAACTCACTAGCATTTAGCAGCTTGCCTGTCTAAGTGCTACTGGGGCCATGCGCACTACGCCGACCGCAGCAATGGAGGTATTACTAAATCTCACGCCATTGCACATCTTCATACAAGGAGAAACCAGGTCAACTATTCACATGCTAATGCAGGGACAAAACCGAATAAGCCAACTACATAGCGCCGACCACACAAGGCTATATCAGCAAGTAAAAAGGGATAATATTCTAGCTATGCCTACTGATAGAGCCATAACCACATACAAATTTGAAAGAAATTTTCAAATTCAAATGCCAGCCCGAGAATCCTGGAAACAGGGACCTCCCGTACAGGCTGTACTCGTCTGGTACACAGACGGTTCAAAAACCAAGGAAGGAGCCGGTGCTGGAATCTATGGACCTAAGTCGAAATCAACGATTTCACTAAGCTTAGGAAAATATGCAACAGTGTTGCAGGCTGAGTTAATAGCCATACAACACTGTGCAAGAGAAATATTAAATCAGCAAGTATCAGGAAAAACTATTGCCATATACTCTGATAGCCAAGCAGCTCTTAAGGCAATTCTCTCACCAGAAATCAAATCACGACTGGTGAAAGACTGTCTAGAAGACCTGACAGAGCTAAGTAGTCAAAATAAGGTGACCTTAGCCTGGGTTCCAGACCATGAGGGATATCAGGGCAACGAAAAGGTCGACGAATTACCCCGAGAAGGCTCAGATAATGCCATGACAGGCCCTGAACCCTTCTGTGGAGTTGCTAAGGCATTGTGCAAGGCATCCATTAAACAATGGATGCAAAAAGAGTCTCAGGAATGGTGGAACAACTATCCAAGACTGAGACAGGCCAAACAGTTCATCAAGGAACCATTGGCCAAGTTTACGAAAGACCTACTGGATCAAAAACGTCAAATCGTTAGGATAACAGTAGGCCTTCTTACTGGACACTGTCGCCTCAAAACGCACATGAGTGTCATAAATCCAGCAGAAGAAGCAACTTTGTGCAGGTTCTGT